TATATATATATATATACATTGAATAATAAGCGATTAAGCTAATTGAACTCAGTTTATTATTTCACTTTTACACAATTTTTCACTTTTTTTTATTCAATGCGATTGTCTTCTTTTTGTACACCTGACTTCAATTTGAGTTAGAGCTATAGCCAATTTGACGTGCATAGATCTTTTGTACATTATTTTCATTTATTCCTTTGAAAACTTGAAGATTTTTAAATATTAATTTGAATTTTTTATTGGAGCAGGTTTCTATCTATCATTTGTAAGTTAATTACATTTATTTCTCGTACATGAGCTAGATTCGTAGAGCAAAGCAAATTTTTTTAATGATCACTGCTTTTGATGATTCTTATTATTATCGTTGTATTTTACAACCATTACATATGAATCAAATAATAAGTATGAATAATAGGTATGTAAAATATTAAAACGTTTAATTAATCAATGCATACGAAAATGTAAACCTCAGATAAATAAATAAATGAACCACAGATCTTTTTATTACATTACATTGCAATTTATTTTCTTTTTTTTCTTTCAAATAATTTTCATAATAACATTTTACAATCAAAATGTCGATTTCATGAAGTTTTACTATTTTGTATTAAATTGCCATTTTTTGTCATGTCATGTTTTACAAAAACCTAGTATATAGGTCGTAATTAATGCCTTTAATATATATGTTTATAAACATCAAAAATTTTTTTGATATGCTCTTGAACCTCAACTTTATGACGAACAGATGACTTATTATTAAGTAATTATGCCTTGATCACCATCTTTATAGAAATTTTGTCTATAAAATTCATGAGTTTAGAAACCTTTGTTTGATATTAGTACAGAGTAAATCAAAATTTTTCTCATCCACATTATTTTCTGTCGTTAAATATATTTATGTTTTAATATCAAATAAATGTGCATATTTGTGAAATAATCGATCAACTATCGACTAATCAATAAATATTAGTCATACTCTCATAGAAATTTTTATTTGATTTAAGAGAGAAAATTGTAAACCGAGAATGCCATTTATAAGAAAATGACAATCTTGGGTTAAGAGAATAAATTCTTAATCCAAGAAAAATTTACTCACATCAATAATAATTTCTTGGTTTAAGAATTTTTTTTCTTGACCTTTTTTCTAGTGTGCTCTTTTTAGCTCTTTGAGCTGAAAATTCTGGTGAAAATATGACACATTTTTTAACATATTATAAAATATCATAAAATATTGTTTAATCATTGAATAAAACTGGGATAAAATTAATAAAAAGCCAAATTATTTGCCATCTGATTAATGGAATATATTATAATAAGCATAAAAAAATAGGTAACATTATGGTGTGTTCAGATCCCCCGCCCCAGTGCCCTGGGGCAGAGAGAATTTTTCGCGGGAAATTTAAAATTTGAAATTATCATCTCAATCCGTCGGCACTTGCTTTGAGCATTTTTAATACGCAGCATCATTTTATGTATAAAAAGACGCTCATTCAAGAGTCATGCAAGCTTGTACGAGCTCATACGACACAGACGACTCATGCGACACTCATACGAGACATACAAGAGTCTTATTACGAGCTGATACAGAATTCATTCGTTTTTTTTTGCATGAGCAAAGTGCTTGTAACAAGTGTTATTAGATTAAAATGATAATTTTAAATATCAGATTTTGAATCTCCCGCGAAAAATTTTCTTTGCCCCGGGGCCACGGAGTGAAGAGATCGAACACACCATTATACAGAAGGCGCGCGCTAATTTAATTTCGGACTTAATTTAAAAAATCAATCGGAAGAAAAACCCGAACTTTATTTATAAAAAGCCAATTTCACGGAATATATTACTTCTGAAATTATACCGAATGAATTAGTCGAAGTTAATTAAATAGGTGACGATTAACGCAGTTTTACGTGGTTCAGAGCTAAGTAAATTTTGAAATTAATCAGTAAGCTTATTTTTAAGTTTTTACGACGAAAAATTCTTTGAAAATCTTATTGTGTAATTTCTTGAAACCAACCAATAAAAATCTGTTGAAATAATATTAGGAATCACTTTTTGGAAAAGTATTTTTGAATACCGGTATAATCCAATAAAAATCAGTTGTTGAGTCATTTAAATGTTATGGAAAAGTATTAAATATTTGCATAAACACATAAAGTGATAAAAAATTTACCCGATTCAGAAGAGAAAATCTTCAATGAAGGATAACGTTTTGAAAAAAAAAATGATATTTTTCAATAAAGAGAATAAATTCTAAATCCAAGAAAAATTTACTCCCACCAAGAATAATTTTTTGGCCCAAGAATTTATTGTTTTAACTCAATAACATCATTTTCTTCAAAATGATATTTTCGAATCAAGTAAAATTTGTTATCAGTGCACATTTCATTTTCACAACAAACAATTCCAATAAAATACAAACTAAATAAAGTTTATGTAAGAAAATTTTTGACTTTCCTATAAACCAACCTATTCATAGTAAGTAGGGCCAGGCGATTTGTATGAAAAGGGAAATATTGTTTTGAATTTTGTCTTTGTCTCCCCCCCTCCCTTATAATAAAAGGGTCTTATAATAAGTTTTCTAGATTTTCTAAACTGTCATTGTAAAATGAATACAAAAAAAACCCTCATTCCATACACACACACGCACAGAAACATACGAGATTCAACGTACGACATGAATTGATTTCGACTTTTTAACTTCTTGTTAAGAAAATTGAAAATTTTCGAAAATTGGAAAGTCATTCGTTTTTCAAAAATCGAGTTTGCGTCAGATCTCAAAGTTTTGAGGTCCTAGGAAACTTTAAAGCTCTCCGAACTCAAAATAACACAAAAATTAAATTTTTGAGCTTGAAGAGCTCAAAAACATCGCAACCAGCGGCTAAATTGCGAATGTTTTATGACTCAAATTAGCGGGATAGCCTTTAAATCAACCGTTTTCCAATTTTTTTTTATTTAAATATTAAAGAAAGATTATTCATAAAATAACTCAATTTCTGTAAGAAGAATGCACAAATTCTGACACACTGTGACGAAGGGGTAATGAAGGAGTAAAGTAGAAATAATTTGAGCTAAGAAAATTTTCATACAACAGTAAAAGTTTTGCTTTGCTTAAAAACAATGTAAGTCTTCGAACAGGAACAAAAAATTTTTCTTGACTTAAATAAATCATTTTTTCCGTGTGCGTTTGCTTATTATGCCTTGCTAGCTATTCAAAATTAATGAACTTTTGGCGAACATTTTCTTTATCTATAGCAAATGAACGCCCAGCCGCAAGTAAATCATGGAGCAGCCATGGTAATCCGAAGAAATTTGTTCCAACAAATTTTGCATAATCTACAAATACCTGATGGCACTTTCCGGCTTCGACCACGTTCTATTCGCTGTCTTAAATGTTGCACTTCAATTACTACTCTCAGTCAAAATAGTATCTATCGTCATACCCAAACATTCAAGCACCGAAACGCATTATTCCTCCAAAACAGACCTGCTTTCTTAACTGAAAGAGATTTTGATGGTTTATCTTATCGGGAGTCTATACACTCACATTAAGATGATCTTCTCCACAATCCTTTCTCAATCCTTTCCTACCAAAATATCCTGTTACGTGAATGTTGGAACGCTTCACGTAATAATTATCCGTAACTCCTAATCTTTCCCGCTTCACAGCATTATTTATATTTGTTGAGTCTGCTTTTATTAAAGTTTTGACCAAATTTTTAATCCAATGCGACATTCCTCTAGAAAAAGTTAACACAGCACCATTTATAAATTTTATGGAACGTTTAACTCGGTTTAGTGTACCTGCTGCAACAACTCTCAGAGAAGTTTATGTCTCTATCGTGTATCAAGAAACGATTCAAAAGATCAGGGATGAAATTGGCGACAATTGCATTTTTATATCTGTCGATGAAACCGTTGACGCAAATGGACGCTGTGTTGTACATGCTATAGGATCACTTTGTGCTGATCGATCATCAGCTCCTCGTTTGATAAATTGCAGCACAGTTATTACAGCAAACGGTGACACAATTGCAGAATTTGTGAATCAGTCTCTGCAAATTTTGTGGCCGAACGGAATTCATCACCACCGTGTTTTGCTATATTTAACTGATGCTGCACCCTATATGAAACGATCTGGAGCGATATTATCGGCAACATATCAAAAGATGATTAAGATAACATGTTTAGCTCACGCGTGCCATAATGTAGCAGAAACAGTCCGAGAAACTTTTACACATGCTAATGACATCATTTCTACAGCTAAAGATATCTTTGCTAGAGCTCCTCAACGGGTTCATCAATTTCAGCAAGCTTTCCCTGGACTTCCTTTACCACCAAAGCCCGTTGTCACTCGTTGGGGAACATGGTTGGAAGCAGCAAAATATTATTGCGAGCATTTTGATGCTGTGAAAAATTTTATTCAAGGTTTGCAACCTGAAAGCGAAGCTATTGAAAGGCTCCAGGAAAGCTTCAACAGAGCTCAAACTCATGTAGACTTTCGTTTCATTGCCGAAAAGTTTTCATGTCTTCTAGACGTCATAAAAATAGTTCAAACCAGAGGACTTTCAATCACTGAAGTTTATGATATTGTCGACGAACTGAGAGACGATATTATTCAAGATCCGACAATACCACGTCTAATTCCAATCAAAATCAACAGAGTTCTCACTCGAAACACCGGCTTCAACGTAACGTTGAGAAACATTAGAGATTGTTTAGATGATGGTCAATTCAATAATCTTCCACCACGTTGGACACCTACTGATGCACAAAAAATGATGTTTGCTCCATTATGTTGTGCCGATGTTGAAAGATCTTTTAGCCAATTTAAAACGCAATATAAATCCAACCGACATGCATTCCACTTTGACAATCTAGCTGAATACATTGTTATTAACTCTAATAGGTTCAAATGAATTCAATATTCATTATTTCCTATATATAATTTAAATAATTGATATTCATTCTGCTTTATATCACTTCTTAATAAGCTATTAGATTAGTAAATTTCATTGTTGTTTCTAATTTGTTTTATTAATTACTAATTGTTTAAAAAAATAATTATAAATGAAATAATTTTCCAAAAAAATTTTACTAGCAAAATGTTTTAATAATATTCACTTATTATTGATACGAAAATTATTTAAAATTTCTATGGGTAAGTACAAAATGAGACTATTTCTAGGACAACTACCTATTTCTAACTTTTTGGATTTCACAACAGTAATATAAAATTCAAATGATGTTATCATAAATATTAGTTATAAATTTTAGTATAATAACATTGATTTATGAATTTAATTTTTTTCTGTTAAAGATTTGTTAACTATTAACTAGGTGCATCGTCTTCACTAGTTAATTACTTATCTGATACATTTGGAACACATTGATAGATACCAACTACAGCCACAATACCAAAATTTTCTAGTGACGTTGAAATATACGCTTAATAGTTTACTAAAGACTTGTTGCATATTTTAAATAGAAAATAAAATTCACATCTGGCAGTAACTATAAATTTATCAGATATTTGCATGAAAAATATGTACTCATCAAGATGTCATTATTAATTAAAAATATGTCCAAGAATATATTAAACACCAGGATTTTTTAGTATATAGCTGATAATGTATTTTGCCATACAGTATTTTGTTAGTTATATGTACTGGTTTGCTTATAAACATGAGCAATATGTTAAAAAACATATCGTCCCCTTGCATAGTTTTGTTTTTTTATCGATGATAACATCTATTAAAAAGCTTTTTTAATATAATAGCCGATTTCTAAGCATTAATTCAAATTTACTTAAATGAAAAGATTAAATATAAAATTTCGTATAATTACTATTTCCAAACATCAGCTACCAATAAAAAGGACATTCACCTCATTTATGATTTTAGTTTATTGGCTAATCATTCATAAAATAAGAAATTGTTTTCTAAAATTTGCTAAAAATCTATTTTTCAGAATTTTCGAATAATTTTAGTAGGTGTAATGCATTCAGACTCAAAACTTAAAACACTACTTTATTTTTTTTCTCAAATAAAGCCAACAAAAGGAAATCGTCATAGAAGTGAGCGTTTTTCTTGGCAACTGACGATTTTAGTATGATGTAGTTTAAGTATCAACAAAAATTTCTTCATATTATATTCTTGGATTTGTGTTAAACCTATAATAAGGAAACTTTATTTTTACATTTTTTATCATAATTTTCACAGTATTATGTATTGCTGCAATTTAACTTATCAAAAGGTCCTATCATCGCAGATATATATCTTTTTAAATCAATTTTAAAAATATTAATTCTATTTTCATTCCTAATTGAATCAGGTAGTTTATTATACCAAATTATGCCTCTGTAAATAATTGATTTCTCAGCAGTCAATGTTCTTGTACTTATTATTTTTAGCAATGACATAGATCTCGTTTTATACTGCATATTATTGAAAACGAATTCATCAAGTAAATATTTAGGTAGTAAATTATTAAGAATCTTATGAATAAACAAACAAGAATTAAATACTATTTTTTGCCTTATGGATAACCAACATAAAGTATCAAGCATTGTCTCTAGTTTAGTGTATCTATTAACACCTAAGATCACACGCATTGCTCGGTTCTGTAAAATTTGAAATTTATCTAAAATACTTTCATTGTAATTAATCATAAGTGTATTGCAATATTCAAAATGTGGAAATACTATTATTTTATAAATTTGACATTTAATGAAGTGAGTTACATTGTTATTCAACCTGCGAATGATATTAATTTTTGTGATAATTTTTTTCATATTATATTCAGCGTTTTGTTTAAAATTCAAATTGTCATCTATTATAATTCCCAAATATTTAGTTTCAGTAACATAATTCAAAATATGACCATTAATCGACAGCTTACAATTATTTCTAATATTTTTGATTCGTTGATCATGAATGATCATGAATACTGATTTTTTAATGTTAATTTTCAATTGATTTTTACTTATCCAATGATAGAGTTTGTCTAAGCAGTCATTAAGTTTCTTCTCAATAGTATGTAAATTAAATCCATCGGAAGAAATCATTAAATCATCAGCAAACAATTTGACATCAACACCTTCGTTTTTTAGAATGTAAATAATTTCATTGATATACAGATTAAATAAAATAGGACCCAGCTTAGAGCCTTGAGGTACACCGAATTTAGTTTCAAGTTCTTCCGAAAATAGATTATGAAATTTCACTTTTTGACGTCTGTCTGTCAAATATGATTCAAACCAAGAATACACTGTTTTTCTGAGACCATATCCATACAATTTATTTAACAATTTAATTCGACAAATGGTTTCAAAGGCACGAGCAAAATCAATAAACACTACACCCGTATAAAGACCTTTATCGAGGTTTTTTCGCCATCTAATTATTGAATGTTGTAAAGTCGATTCACATGAGTGATTTTTGCGAAAACCTGACTGCTCTGGGCTTATCAATTTATTAAAATTGATAAACCGGTCAAGTTGTGTCTTCACAACCTCTTCTAGAATTTGTTCTAAAACGGGCAAAGTGTTTATAGGTCTCATTTCGTCTGCTCTGCTCGTGCCTTTGACCTTTTGTAATGGTGTTATGGTAGATGTTTTGAAAATTTGGGGAACCACACCAAATTTCAATGAGGTATTAATCATATTCAACAAGACATTACTATTAGCCTTCCATACTAATCGTACAATACTAGCATTTACATCATAACTTTTACATTTATTACAATCCAAACCACTAATAATTTTATCAAGTTCGGTAAAACCTATTTCGTCAAACGTGTCCCATAGATTAACATTATCATATTTAAAATTATTATCACAGTGTATATTTAAATTATCGTCTATTTGATTAACAATATCTCCGATACTATTGATGAAATACTCATTTAACCTATTAACAATTATTTTTTTATCATCAATAATTTCAGCCCCAAATTTAATTTCATTAATACTCGATTGATTATTTTTACTACCCAGAAGTTGCTTAAGAGTTTTCCACATTTGTTTAGCATTTCGTTTATTATTATCAATTTCAGTCTTGTAAAAATCTAGTTTGTTAATTTTTAGTTGTTTGACAACTTCATTTCGTAACTTTTTGTAAGTAGTAACATTATTGATATCATTCGTTTCTTTAGCTATTTTAAATGCCTTATTTCTATCTTTTATTAAATTTATGACTTTACCATCGATCCATGGTTTTTTTTCCCAGTTGTATTTAATCACTTTATTATGTTTTGGAGCTAATGAGTCAATAGTACCGATTATATTATCAATTACATTCTCGACCAGATTATTAAAGATAAAGATAATTTTGCTATTAGTATGATCACAATCTAAGGTTGTGAAGTCAATTTTACTTAACTTAGAAGCAACATTTTTAGCAAATATGTCATTGTCAAAACTTCTGTAATCCCTACAAGTTATTAATTTAGATTTATTATTATTAACATTATATAGTCTATTATTAAGTTTGATATAAATAATATTGTGATCAGCTATTTTAGGTTCTTCTAATATCTCAGTATTTAAATGCAAGTTAGTAAATAATAAGTCAATTATAGTATTAGAATGTATTGTAGATCTTGTCGGTGATGTAATTTTTTGATCTAAACCCATACATTTCATATTTTCCACGAATTTTTTAGCATAATAATCATTTTTTAATACATCTATATTAAAGTCCCCCACGATTAATAGATTGCCCAAATCTGACCATTCCTCTACAAGATCTAGCATTTTTTTTGTGAATTGGCTAATTTTACTATTAGGAGACCTATATATATTGCATAAATAAAATTTATCATTTTTGCCCTGAATTTGTATGAAATGCAACCACATACCATTAATACTTAGACTGGGATTATTTACTACATTATATTTAATATTATCTAAAATATACGTGACGACACCACCTGTTCTAGTGTTATTCGAGTTCGTTCGCACCAAGGAGTAATTAGGAAAAGTGATTTCACTATCTAATATTTCATCAATGACGTGAGTTTCACTTAAACACAGAATATCTGGTTTATGTTCACTTATCAATATATTTATATCATCAATGTGACTCAGTAAGCCGCACACATTTACAGCTATTATGCATAAAGTGGAAGAAGAAGAAGAACTACAAGCTGATACACTACAATTAAATAGCTATCTACTCCAGAATGGATTCTCCGATGATGATTTTGTTTGTAGATAATTTTGTAAGAATTTACATCTTACGTCCGTAGCAGTATGGTGAACATCAATATCCTCGTTTCCTCTTTTTTTGGCTAATTCAAGACAGTTAACACAGTTGATTGACGAATTTTTGCACAATTTTTCATTGTGATTTTGCGCACAACACCTGCATCGTTCTTCCTTTGTACATCTATTAGCTATATGGTTCAGTCCCCAGCACTTAAAACATCTGATCACATTGACATGATTAAAAACTTTGTACGAATTCCAGCCATATCGCACTTTACCACTAGTTGTTACAGATTTATGAAGTTGCGAGTTTACTTGCAGTATTACGGAACAAGAGCGAGTTGTTTTGTATTTTTTTATTATTTTTATTGATTGATTATCACTACTATCATCACTGGACCAGTTATTGCGTGATTTTTGAAGAGCGTGAAATTCCCCACAAGGTCAATCAAACCGATTTGCAATATTGTAAAAGCCGGCTAAGCATTAGAAATTTGAAAAAAAAAAAAATTTTTTTTACATGCATTCTAAATGGTAAAACTTTAAATTTTTATTGTAAGTACTTAGAATTAATATGAAGAGCTCAAACTTGGTAGGAATTTTTTTTTCTCTATGTAGATTGATATTTTTTATGAGCACAGAAAAAAAAAAATTTTGCGGAAATGAATCACCCTAATATATATATATATATATATATATATACACTTCATGGATTTTCACGACGACCTCTTTCCTGAAAATCGAGGAGACTACAGTGAAGAATAGGCAAAACGATTTCATGAAGACCTAAGTGGAATAAAAACAAGATATCAAGGAAATTGGAGTATCAATAAGATGATAGATTTTTGCTGAACACTCAAAAAAAATACACCAAGAAATAATATCAAACGAACGAAAAATCCACTCAGTAGATCGTTTAAGAAGAAAAGAATTCGATACCGACTGAAAATCGTGAAATATTCTCATTAATAGGGATTCATTGATAAAGATTTTTCACCAAATTGATTGAGGATCGGAACAATCACAAACATTTTCCATTGTAATTTTATTTTTAAAGAAGACTTTTTACCAGAGCACCGCTGTTATTAAGAAATTATATTTCTGTTTCAGAATTATTCAGATGGAACTCATGCAAGACGAGTCCCTTAACTTATTAAAATTCATCAATAAGTCTGTAAGTGATTTAAAATGTTCAGAACTAACTGATATTGCGCGATGTGGACATTGTTCAGAAGAATTCAAAGGAATGATTAACAAGATGTGGTAATACTTTTGTTGCTATTATTATTATTATTATTATTATTAAATGCTTTATTTGCCCATTCAGGGGTACAATTTACGAACCCCTATTTCGCTTACAAACAATCGAATTATAATAAAACCTCCGTAATTCTAATACAAAAATACTTAAAATACCATATCTAACCTAAATAACAAAATCTTAATACTACCAACATACTGGCGGGAAGAAGAAAAACACCTCTGTGAGAAAAAAAACCGCATTACGTCTCTCACTCATTCCTCTATCCGTCACACACAAACCCAAGGACTTCTGTTTCCGCTGCATTTAGATTCGACCCCTTCTACTCTTTCCACTCCGAGATTCTCTAGAGCATATTAATACCCCTGAGGATATTATTGACTAACGAATGAAGAAGTCACGGAATTCTTTCAGTGATCTACTAGAAATCCTGGGGAATTTACAGTTTGACACAAATCTGAATTCCAGAAGAATTCCCCATGAATTTTCTCCGGATGAAATTGTAAGTGATAGTTTAATTAAGGGTTTACATGGGTTTCACGGTTTCGGGAAATTGATTTTTAACTTCCCGCTAAGAAAATTGGAAATTTTCAAAAATCGGGAAGTTATTGGTTTTACCTCGTTTTTCGAAAATCGAGTTTTCATCAGATCTCGACGTTTTGAGGTCCTAGGAAGCTTCCCTGAATATTCCCGCGAGGGTGTCACTATGTCTGTATGTATGTATGTATGGATGTATGTATGTATGTGTGTGTGTGTGTGTGTGTGTGTGTGTGTGTGTGTGTGTGTGTGTGTGTGTGTGTGTGTGTGTGTGTGTGTGTGTGTGTGTGTGTGT